GCAGAAGGCAAATTTGAAAAAAAATTGTTCGATATTTAACTCAATTTACTTGATGGCTTTACTTGATCGAACTAAGACTAGTGTTTTGCACATAGGCGAAATTCTTATTAACGTTATGCGCAGGACCAGCAGCTAAAAAGAGGCTTTTGATTCCAACGAAGCTTTACTTACGTAGGGAAGGTTATATATGAGAACAAGCGAAGAATACTGACATTACTAGGTCGTTAAGATAGCTAATTGAATCGTTCCTCGACTCATGCTCTAGGCGTGAATACGCGCGGAGCCCAGTTTCGTTTAGTTCAAATCTTTGTTATATATAATTTTACTTTCTATAGAATATATTTCTCTCTCTCTCTCTCTCTCTCTCTCTCTCTCTCTCTCTCTTCCCCTTTTTTGTTTTGATTTAATTGATTAACATATATCTATAAAAAATATTTTATATCATAGATAACTGATTTGAGAAAGCATTTAGTCCTCTTTTAATTATCCGATAATTGTAAAATTTTTATTTTGTTCTAAAAAATTTTTTATTCTTATTTTATATTTGAATTAGTGAAAATTAAAAATTATATGTATACAAAACTCAATTTATAATATCTTTGCTTTATTAAAAGTAAAGATAATTGATTATAAAATTTTCGATTATAAATGAAAATACTTGAAAAAAAAAACATTATATATTGCTTATCATTTAATAACTATTTAAAAAATAAATCTGTTGACTTAATAAAAGATTGTCACATTAAAGTGCTAAGTTCAAACGATTTACATAACTTCATTACTTGAAGACAATCAATGATTGAAATAAAATTAAAATTTTTCTCAAATTTACTTTGAAGAAGATTAAAATTAATTAACAATTTCTTCAAATTTAGAGATGTTTAAATTATTTATAAACTTACCGTTAAAAATTTACGCATTAAGTACGTGTTTTTGTGCTGTAATACAAAATCCTTTCGCAAAAAGATTTTGCAAAAAATCTTAATTTTGTACTTTTTACCTTTCGAAGATCTAAAATTTTATTTGTACTTATATGTATAAGTGCGAAGTGCGCATTTTGCATATATAAAATTTATATTGCAGCATCACTATTTTATTTCTTCTTCTTCTTCTTTTTCTTCTTCTTTTTCTTTTGATATATATATAGTATATTAAAAGAATGTTGTTGTTAAATCATCATATATGTACTTTCCCGTCTTGGCCATATCGTTACATTTTATGAGATAGTGTGAAGTATAATCTCGGGGAGTAATTTTGGGAGCAGAAAATAGGAAAAGAGTTTTAAATAGAATTAGAATATTACAGTGATACATGAAAGTTTTATAGTTGTTTCCAAAATGTTTGCATTTTTTATAAAATAATAATTATTCTACAAAGTAGTTCTCTTCCCATACCACTTCGCAAATAATAATTCATTTTTATTATATCGAGCATTTATTAGTGCATTATGTTATTATTATTACACATTCAATTACTTTATATTAATATCGCTTATTATTATTATTGTCAGTAATCATTCTGTCTTTTCTCGCTTCGTTTCTCTCACCGAACCATATCTCACACAGTAAAAAACATTTTGTATTTGTGTTAGAAACGGTCCACTCAAATCCTTGTTAAAATTTTGTATTGAATTTTTAACATATCCGAGTTTTAATTTAACATAATATGATTGTGTTATTTAAATATTTTGTGTTAAATTAAAATTTAACATTTCTCAGTGTTAAAATAACATAATTTATAGGTAAGTCACAAACATAAAAATAATGTAGTTTTAAAACGTAAATTCTAAGAATAAATTAATAAAATATATGTGTTGATTTAATATTATATTATAAATGTTAATTTTATTGAAGAAATATGTTCTGTACAAGTAGTTACATATTTTATATATGAAAAGGTACAGATATTTTGTGTTATTTTCTCTTTGTAACAGTAAATATCTGTTAAATCTATATCTATATGTTAAATCTATATATTGCATATGTTAAATATCACAGAAGTATCGTTTAAAAATATAAAAATAGCATCTAATTTCAGTTAAATTTAACATTATGATTATAATTTAACATAAAATTTGTTTTTAAATTATGTCATAGTATTATGTTTTGTGTTAATTTTTTACATAATATTTGTGTTACTTTCTAACATATTCATCTTATGTTACATTAACACAAAAATTTGAGTGGATCGTTTGGGATATGTAAAATATGTTATTTAACACAAACTTTTTTACTGTGCACACTTTCACATTTCATAAATTGTACATTATTTTGTGTTTGTTATTTAATTGTTACGCTATTTGTTAATTTATTATTTAAGATTTTAATAAGATTTTAATAAAATATATGACATATGTATATACATGATATATATATATTTTTATATCTTGGCATATATATATATATATATATATATATATATATTTAATACATACTTAATATAACTTAAATAAATGACATAATTAATTCGAAAATAATTTATCAATCAGTCGCGTGATAAATTGATATACTGTAAAGCTCATAGATTTTCATTAATATCATCGCACTTTCTTCACGAAAAAATATTATTTGTGTGTGTGTATGTGTGTGTGTCCCCACGCGTGCGCTGTACAAAGGAAAACTACACTCATGTAAAAGACAATTGTTATAAAATGATAATCGCTAAGAAAACTCGGATTATTATTATCAGTTTTAAATAAACGATAACAGATATGATACGCAAATGCAAAACTCCTTCCTATGTTTATTGGATCGACTGACTTGATCGTTATCATCATGTCAATCCGTCAACCTTATCAAATTTAACATGTTAATTATTTACGAGAAAATGATTTATGAAAAATAAAGTAGGAATAAGTTATTTAGTATTTAAATTGCGTATTTAGTATTTAAATTTTGTATGCCTTCATTTAATTTTATATTCATAGTTTTTGCAATTGTTGAGTAGTAATACAATTTATATATATATATATATATATATATATATATATATTATGCGTATTATGTGATAAAATGCAATTGTACACAATATCTTCTTTAGATCTTTACCATCTACAATGATATTTAATGTACTTTCCTGTAACAGGAGAATCTCTGAAATATTTAACAATATGTTTGGACAATTTTGAAGGTATACAAACAATGTTCCAAATAACAAATTATTGGCGATATATTGATTGAACATTGAGGATATATAGAACTAATTTGAACAATATTGTGCTAATAATTGTACTATAATTAGGATATTGAATAATAAGTATATGTAGGATGATTGATAATGATTAAACTCTCATATAGAGATAGAATGCACTAAACTGAGTAAAAAAAGTCTTTGCAATCTTCGCAATGGTTGACGAGATATTAATTTCCAAAAATCATCGAGTAAGCACGTATCCCTCCGTCCGACTGTTGCCTATTGACTGTTAAAAATTGTAAAATGATAAAGAACATTTCTACTCAGTTTAATCATTTTGTCTCTATACAAGAATTTAATCATTAATTATCAGACACTCTGTATACATATATTGAGTTTTAATACAGTGTAATATGTACTACCTTATCAAAATATTATCTTTGAGATTACATATCTCTCTTGCGAGACCCGCAACAAACCTATTCTCATTACAATAAAATTTGCGAACACATTTTACAATATAGACCTAAGTATTAATACAATATATGACACTGTTTTCGTAATAGCAAAATTAATGTGGTTTTATTGAGATGACAACATGGTTTTATCGTATTACATTTTATTTCTCTGTGTAAGCTCTAAACAAATATTTTTTAATGTATTATACTTTCTTCAATTTGTTTGCAAAATATATGATAAGATCTTTACGTATTTATAATAAATACATATAAGAGATGTCTTATTATTTCGATGCAATCTTTAAATATTTTTAAAATGATTTCTTGAAGCATTATGACATTGTGTTTGATTTATTTCTTTCATCGACAGTCTTATGTCTATGTTACATTACGCATTGGAGATTGAGGTTTGCAAATTAAAGATTGGAATTTGACCAATCAAATAATTTTAATTTTAATCTATTTTGTTCTAATTGGCTGAATTTTAATCTTCAATTCGCAATTCTCAGTCTCTGTAGTACGACACAGGCATTACACAGTAAAAAACATTTTGTATTTGTGTTAGAAACGGTCCACTTAAATCTTTATTAAAATTTTGTGTCAAATTTTTAACATATGCGAGTTTTAATTTAACATAGTATCATTGTGTTATTTGAATATTTTGTGTTAAATTAAAATTTAACATTTCTCACTGTTAAAATAACATAATTTATAGTAAGTAAACAAATACCATAAAAATAATGTAACTTTAAAGTATAAATTCTAAGAATAAATGAATAAAATGTGTGTTAATTTAATATTATATTATAAATATTAATTTTATTAGAAATATAATTTATTTTTTTATTAAGAAATATGTTCTGTACAACTAGTTACATATTTTATATTTGAAAAAGTGAGATATTTTGTGTTATTTTCTTTTTGTAACAGTAAATATCTGCTGTTAAAATAACATAATTTATAGTAAGTAAACAAATACCATAAAAATAATGTAACTTTAAAGTATAAATTCTAAGAATAAATGAATAAAATGTGTGTTAATTTAATATTATATTATAAATATTAATTTTATTAGAAATATAATTTATTTTTTTATTAAGAAATATGTTCTGTACAACTAGTTACATATTTTATATTTGAAAAAGTGAGATATTTTGTGTTATTTTCTTTTTGTAACAGTAAATATCTGTTAAATATATATATGCATATGTCAAATATCAGAGGCATCGTCTGAACTAAAAATGTAAAAATAGCATCTAATTTCAATTAAATTTAACATTATAAATGTGTTAATTTAAAATTTGTTTTTAAATTGTGTCAAAGTATTACGCTTCTTGTGTTAATTTTTTACATAATATTGATTTTCTAACATATTCATCTTATATTAAATTAACACAAAAATTTGAGTAGACTGTTTGGGATATGTGAAATGTGTTAAATTTAACACAAATTTTTTTTACCGTGAGGTGCCTCTACATAATTCGCAAATCGCAAAACGTAGTTTGCAAATGCTGACGCAGAATGACGATCATCGCACGTAAGATACACGCAGATAAAACTCATTCGCATGCAATGAAAAAACAAATAATTATTTTCATTCTATGTCTGCGTTTGTGAACTAAACTAACAAAAGTTTTGTGATTTACTAATTATCTAGTAGAGGCATCTTAACGTTCGTACAGATATACGTTTCGTGCATTATCTACTCTTGACATTTATTTGTCCGCATAAGCAATAAATAAGGTAAATGTCCCAGTCATCCGACATGTCCAAATATTTATTAAAGAAATAGTTATTATAAAGTATTTATAAATATACAAATCTTAAAATGAAGATTTTAAATAAATCATTGATATATTATTTTTTATAAGCCAAAAGTTTAGAGTCGTTGTGCAATATTTTATTAAATAAATCTAATTAATAATTAGCTGAAGTATGTTAAGTATTCTCAAGTTCTTACAAAACTGACGGAAGTCGGAATAACTACTTCTTCGACTACCCCTTCTATCGATTGCAATTCGAAAGCATTTTTTTTCGTCGAGAACATGTCTTCGATCTCGCGTAGAGTCTTTCCCTTTGTCTCAGGTAAGAAAAATAAGACAAATATTGCGCCGATTAAAGACATGATTGCGAAGAAAAGGAACACGCCGTACATGTTCATCAGTTTTTCCATATCTGGATATGTCTTAACAGTTATTGCACTGAAGAGATAACCTATGGCAACCGTCATGCCGGACAATATATCTTTAACTTTGGACGGAAACACTTCGCCTACCATAGCAAACGGTATCACCAGAAAACCCAAAGTACTTGTGAATATGTACATCACCATACAAATCACCGGGACAACTCCATTATCCGCCATGACGGTTCCCTTTTCAGCTAGGTACAGATATAGTGACAAGCCTCCCATGAAGATCGTCATCCCAATGCCGGAAATCATCGATGGTATTCGCCGACCGAATTTTCGGGACACACCTGCCGTTAAGAGACTGGCTATAAAACGAGCGATGCCTATCAATACTGCTCCGAGGAAAGGATCCACTTGAACACCTGATTTAGCCATTATTCCAACGGCGTTATATATGACAACGAAGATCCCGGAGAATTGTTGGAAAAAGAAGAAGCTGAGCATTATACCGAATGGTACTAGAGAGCTCTTTTTCATCAGATGCTTCAGCACGTTCTGATTCTTCTTCTGCGGACGCGGTTTTAGTTCAAACAAGACTTCCGCCGGTGCCGGCTGATCCTTTGGTATTCCACGGAACTTCTTCATGATCTCTAGCGCTTCATCGGGCCGATTTCGATCCCTCAACCACAAAGGACTTTCAGGTATCACCAGTAAAGTGAGGGCGATCGCGCACAATGGAAATAGAGCGCACATTAAAGCCACCAGTCGCCAATTATCCTTTGAGAAAGAACAATTATGCATTAATATATATATCTATTGATTATTGCGACAAATATTACAAATATTACATGTCTTGGTCAAATTGAAAAAGATGGCCCTGGTTGGTGATATTTTTTGCAATGAGTTCTTTGCAGTGTTATAAGATACTTATTAGCATCATTATTAAATTGACGATTAATTATTTTGAGATATTATTTCAGCTTTATTTTATGTTAGCGTTTCAAATCTAATCAGCGTACAATTTATCGAATTGAAATATAATATGTATTTAAAATTTACATAGAAATATTATTAGACATCAAGCCTCGATAGTATTTGGTACTTCTTATTTATTTGTGTTATTTATAATATATTACAGTTTGGTTCTAATTTGATATTAATTGTGCATTATTATGCTTATCGTTTATGAACATTTACCTGAAAAATATATCCGAAGATATAAACAATGAGAACACCAAGAGCGATAGAGATACTGGTCCATGTAACCATCGAGCCTCGCCATTTCGATCCCGCTATTTCCGCCGCGTACACCGTCGTCGGAACAGATGCCATGCCAGTGGATATTCCGGAAATTGATCTCCCAACTAAGATTTGCACGTAACTGTTCGACATGTAAATGATTACCCAGCCCGCCATTGAGATCAATGATGTCACGAACATGCTAATCTTTCTTCCTCGTCCCATCACGATGCTCGAGAGTAGGCAACCAATAGGTGTACCCAACGCCGATACAGTAGCTGTTGCGCAAATATAATAATTTTTTACTACAATAATTTTAAAATTTATTTGTAGCCTATATGCAAAAAAAGTAGTTATAATTAAAAATATTTAAAAAATTGAAAAAAAATAGTGGAATCCTTGGATTCCTCAGTTATTGAATTAAGTATTTAAAAAATTTTTGAAACAGTTACAGTATAAAGTACAAAATCATAGAAAAAAGGTGTATCTAATTGCAAAAGAAGTTAAATTATCTCTATAGATATAGGGAGAAGAGTGCAAAAGAAGTTAACTGACCGAATCCTTACTGTTGCAATACAATTATATCCCTCATTCAATAAAAATGACAAATGTTTTGTTTCAAAATGAGCTAAAATTCTTTTTTTAAGCTGCAAAATTTTTAATAACGGTAAATTTTTCTTAATTTTTTATAATAAAGATCTTGATGGCTTGAATAAGAAAAATTATACAAGTTTTTTACCATTGCTAAAAAAAAACTTTTAGTAGGAGTAACGACTTTTGCCAATTATTATTGTTATTATTACTATTATTATTATTTTTAATAATTCAAAATTGCAAAGAATTCGTTGAAGGAATGAATTTTTCATTACACTAACCCATCCAATTTGCTTGATTAGCATCGAGTTGTAAATCACCATCAGTCTTATTTGCTCTCATCGCAGATTCTGCTACAGCGCTGTAACCGAAACCCATTGCTGGACCCAACACCACAACATTGGCGCATAAGGCCATCAATATCTGTAGAAGAAAAGCTTCGAATCAGGTAGAAGTCGGCAATATCGGAAAATCAATGATGATGTAATGATAGCGACACGAAAAAATCCTAAAGAAAATATTTGTATTCGTAGTGAAAGGTAGAGCTGCAAACTTTTCTAGATAGAGCAGAAAACGTATAATTAATATAGATTATTTATAGCTGCGAAAAATAGTGTAAATAGATATGGGAGATATCCATTGCACAGTTCCTATCAAAGGATAAGATTAACTAAACATCGAATCTTTTTATCTGAATAATTTTCTTATCGCATCAAACTGCAGCTATTATAAATGCGAATAATATTAGAATCGGATAAATATTAACGTATGATCATTGAGATAAAAAGACGTAGCCAGCAATTACATACGTTTTAAAATTTTATGTGGATAAAATTATACTCACAATCAGTTTAAAGACTGAAAGTATAATAATATAACGCGTAGCACTTTTCATGCATATTTTCAAAATATTTTATATAATTATATAATTATATAATTTATCAAGATAAAACTTAGAAAATCGTATACAAATACAATATACAAATATATCTTATCATTACTAAACTTAAGATTTAGAGTTTTGTGGGACGTCAGAGATAAGTAATCGGTAAAAAATTGTTCACATATAATTATACACCATATAAAATTATACTTAAAAAATATAGGTATATAGGGTATTTGGAAAATCTTTCGCATAGAGATAGAATAGACTAAACTGAGAAGAAAAGTCCTCTACCATTTTGCAATTTTCGCAATAGTTAACAAGATATTAATTGTTAAAAATTGCCGAAAATTGGTCTTCAATAATTTTTTTAATCAAATACTATCAACTTTATAGAAAAATTGCAAGAGATAAAAATTGTTTATTTTCTTCTCATAGAACTTTATAAATTTGTTCAGAATTTTTTATCAACTTCTTGGTATGGCATTTTCTCATTTTTACCAACATGAGAAAATATGGTACTAAAAAATTCTGAAAAGATTCTAAAAAAATGTTGAGAGCTCTATATAAGAAGAAAATAAACTATTTTTGTATCTTGCAGTTTTGATAAGATGCCTAAACTAAGATAGTCTGTTTAAAATCATAATATCGTTAGATAGTCCAACATATCCTTTAGCAACTTTTTTACATGACATAATATCACAAAATGTAGATCTCCAAGTAAAATAGAGAATAGTATAGTAAATAGATTAAGAGGCATACAATTAGCAAATAAATTCTCATTAATATCATTGAATGTAGTCTCACTTTACCAACGTACCGATAGAATTAGCAATAACAAGCATATCTAGAAGATGGAATGTTTTAAAAAAGTAACATGCATTCCTAAGGAAGAATTCCTAAAGATCGTTAGTTTTGAAAACTTGACGGTTTTCAGTTTCAATGACAAACAGAAATTTGACACCCCAATGGGATTACCTCTTTCTCCAATCATTGCAGACCTCTTGTGAGATTTAGAAGCAAATGCTCTAGAGACCATTGGCAATTATCCTTTTATTTTATAAAGATACGTTGACGACATTGTGACCACAGTTTCCCTTGACTCGATGGATTTCATTTTAACAACATTTACTCGTTTCACACAAGATTACAATTCACGTTAGGGAATGGGGGGGATAGAATCAATTTTTTAGATGTTACAATTATCAAAAATAAACACATTTTAGAATTTGACCATATCATAAACCAACCTTTTCGGGAAGATACCTCAATTACTTATCGGCATACCCTATGTTGCAAAAAAAAACAGCGATGGACATGATTGACAGAGCGGTATTACTTTCGGACCCAAAATATCAGCAAAAAAATATTAAGTTTATTATTGATACTCTCCTAAACAATGACTATCTGGCGGAATTCATTTTCGAAATTATTGCTACTTGGCTAAAAACTTCAATCTCTAAACGAAAATCAATGGAAAAGAAAGGTAGTAAATATTGATAAATAATGTAGTAATAGCAATGAAAGAGTACCATGATTTTTGATTCCTTACAATCCGAGTGCAGCAGATTAATTTTTAACAATTAGCAAGAATGAGAATTTTAAACTAATTTTTTTCAGTGATAATTCACTGAAATAATAATAATCAACTAAACAAATTTATTAAAGTGCAAAAGGATATTTTTCCAAAGAATTTGAACAAGAATATTATATATAAAATCTCATGCAAAAATTGCGATGCTACTTACGTGGGACAGACGAGTAGAAAATTAAATACTAGAATTGCTCGTAACCATGTAAGTTGGAACTAGTCAATCGGTAATCATGGACCATAGAATCAAATATAATCACGAATTCGATTCGAAAAATGTCCTGATACTTGATACTAAAAGAGTAAATAAATGATTAATTTCTGAAAAAGCACACATACATATGCAAAAAAATCAACTTGCGCTCAGATATGGATGGACTACATTATGCTTATTCATCAATGCTAAACAAGTGGACGTAATGTGTTAGTTTATATTTACAGGATATATGATTGTGCAATTGTAATTTATATTCTGTACCGTTGTTCTTATATATCTTACAACTAGACTCGTTATCAATATACTCTTATATTATATAACTGGAATTAATTTCTTTAGTATATATACAAGTTACAATTAAGATTTAGCATAATCATATGCTCAGATTGTATAACTTGACTTAATTGTTGTATTTCATAGATTTTAATACTTAATTTATGTAATTATGTAATTATAACTCAATAGGTTTAAGACATCTATAATTTTTTTATACGGAGTATGCGTATTCAATTTACAACGAAGACTTAATACCTTTATAATTGCCTCAATTTTTATTATACATTTTTTATATATGTTTGCAATATTAATTTAATTTAATTGTGTACATTTAACTCTTGTTTGATTTTGTGTATGTTTTTCGAATCGCAAAATTGTCAACTATATTTCTATTCTTGTATATGTTATATCGATGATAGACAAAGGCTTATATTACAAGAATTTTAAATAAAGAAAATACCGGGACATCCAAGATGTAATCATTTTATATTTTACATTAGATACAATAATCACCTCCTCGCGCTGACTATAAATAGCTCAGAATCAGTTATTATTGTTATTTCATAAATTATAATTTTGAATAACATAATAAAAATTCGAGAATAATAATAAATTTTGTGTATGTATTCACATATATGTCCGGTCACTAGGATGTCTATCTTATTATATATAGGATGTTTGATAAGTAATGATAAAACTCTCGCACAGAAATAAAGCGGACTAAACTGAATCGAAAAGTCCTCTACTATTTTGCAATTTTCGCAATAATTACTAAAATATCAATTATTAAAAATCACCGAATATTGGTTTTTAATAATTTTTTACTCAACTACTACATACATCAAACTTTAAAAAAAAAACAGCGAGAGACAAAACTTGTTTATTTTCTTCTCAGAGAATTCTGAGAATTTTTTCAGAATTTTTTAGTACTGCATTTTCTTATGTTGATAAAAATAATTGCCAATAAAAATGCAAAAAGTTGACAAAAAATTCCAATAAAATTCTTAGAATTCTATGAGAAAAAAATAAACAATTTTTATCTCTGTTTTTTGTAAAGTTGATAGTACTTGAGTAAAAAATTATTGAAATATTTGACGATTTTTATTAATTAACATCTTGTTAATTATTGCGAAAATTGTAAAATGATAGAGGATTTTTCGATTCAGTTTAGTCCATTCTATCTATGCGAGAGTTTTATCGTTACTTATCAAACACCCTGTATATGTATATGTATATAATTATATTATATATAATTTTGTATAATGTCTAACTTTTACATATAATTGTATACATAAATTCATTAATATATATTTATAAAATAATGATTTATACATGTTTGTATATGTTTATACATATAATTCGTTGTAATTCCACTCTTTATTTCAATTCTTTAATAGGATAGAGCGGGGCTAGTTGTGACACTTTTTCTTTATATTATCATAAATCTTCACACAGTTACGATAGATTAATATAAATAATTTAAAACGTTGCATGTTCATCTTACTTAATAATTAAGTATTTATAAATCTTTAATATATCTCGTAAATAAGAAAAAATTAATTACAAAGCTGCAAAGTCAATATGCCCTATGGTACACGTTGAGTATCCTCGAAGAATAAGTTGAGCTATGAAAATAATCGTTTAAGATGAGATTATACATCATTAAAAACATGAAAGGATTATGTGTATACTAATCAAATTTTTATTATCATCTTAAATATAATTCTTTCTTTACAAATGTTTTAATTAACAGAATCAGAAAAACTAAAATCTTTACTTTTTATAATTATAATTAAACGTAAAATATATATTTAATCGTTAAATAAAAAAGAATAAAAAACATTGATAAAGACAGTTTTTATTTAAGCAGCTAAGTTTGTAAGGTTAGTTATGAGATATTGGGCCCAAGTCCTCTATCGTTATTGACTAAAATATTTTTTTATAACTGAAAAACAATAAATAAAATATCAATTTGGACATTAAAGTTAAAAAATACATTAATAACTTACATCTAAAAAACACGTTTGATTGTTATTAAAATAATTATATTAATATTAATTTGATTTTTATCGCTTTAATTATCACGTAGATTGAAAAGAATACTCACCTAATAATTTTATTTTTGATGTACAAAAAAGCGCATGTGTATAGTTGTTGACAGCCGAATGCAATAATCTCTGTCTGTGTGTTATCTTACATAAGCATAGTATCTATATATATTTTGGTTATTTATAATATATATTTGCATTTGCAATTTGCTTCTATGCGCAACTAGACTCACTCTATCCATATAGTTCGTATCCATATTGCTTAACTTCTACGATCGTACAGAAACTATTACTTTGTGACGACTTATGAATATTAAATGTAAATAAATATATTTAGAATTGATCTGTTTAATAGATATTTTCAATAAAATAGAACATGTATAATTTTGTATAAAATACATTTCCTTCATAAATGAATATAAAGAGTTATAATTTTTCACTGACATTTATATACATATACGAAATAGCACCTGGAATAATTTTTCTATTATCTGTTTGAATAAAACGCTTGGAGAACACTATAAGAATAAAGGCAAAATTTTTTTTCCTAAATATCTTTTTAATTATAATTTTGTCAGATGTATTCAGAAATATGATACTAATTAATAAAACTTATTTTAGTAATTAAACCAAATTATAATTATAGTTTTTAGTTTTCTCATTGGTATATGTAATTATTTATATCTTTACATAATTATATTTAGACATGTTTTTCATATTTATATATAATTATATATAATTCGTTTATATACATATAATTATATGTAAATGTTTTTCATTAGGTAGCGGATATATATATGTACATATATTATATGTATATTATATATATATGTATACACATATATATATATAGGACGTTCTCCACGAACCTCCCCTACTCAGAATAGTTTTGAAAAAAATGAGACGGCTCAAATTAAAGTTCGTCTACATCTACTTTCAAAAGCTGTCTGGCTTTTTTCTGAATTCAAAATGGCGTATCCAAGATGGCAGCCGATTTCACAGTAATCTTAGCAAAATTCAACTAATTTGCCAATCATCTACTTAACAATGCATTACGGCGGAAAATAACCCGATCTGAAGTTATCAAGTTTGGGTAGAGTAACCATCAAGTAAACATAGATATGACTAAACATTGATTCTCTACCCAAACGTGACAATGGTATAAGACCAATAATATATTTTGCAATATATGAGATATTATTGTATTATGAGTATACACACTTATTTATAGAACATTTGTTATAATAAAAATCAATTTAATGATATAAAATTTCAACCGGATGTATTCCCGAATATTAATGACATCCAACTATCCGGTCGGATAGTAAAAAAGTACCGGATAATACTGGATGTCACATACATTGCGGATATCCAGTGCAACCATAGTGATTTTGATTTGAAAGACAAAGAACGTTCAGATCAACCAAAAAAATTCGAAGATGCCAAATTGCAAGCATTGGATAAAAACTCAACTCAAACGTTTGAACAATTAGCTGATTGATGAATGAATCAATGAAGCATTAAATGTTGATAAATCAACCATTTCTAATCGGTTATACACAATGGGAAAGATTTAAAAAAAAGACAAATGGGTTCCGCACGAATTATCTGAACTGGCTATTCAAAATTATTTAATCATTGCTTTCTCGTCACAAAAAAAAGCAGTTTTTGTATCAAATAATGACCGGTAATGAAAAATGGACCTACTATGATAATTCTAAGTGTAAAAAATCAAGGCTGAAACCAAATCAAACAATTACTGCTGAGCGTTATCAACAACAATTAAATCATGCTTTGAACCAGAAACATAACAACTCAAAAAAAAATGCTAAGTGATTTTGTTGCGCGACAATGCTCGATCACACGTTGCAAAAACAGTTAAAGCGTTAGCAGTATTTCAATGGAAAATTTTACCACGTGCCGCATATTTACTGAGACTGTGTTTCTTCAGATTATTACTTATTTCGATCGATGCAGAACGGCCTTGCTGATCAGCACTACAAAACATAAAATGCTAAAATAAAAAAATAACTCGATGAATGGATTATTTCGAAGAGCGAATATTTTTTTCATTGCGGAATCTGTTTATTGCCAGATAAATGAGAAAAAGTTGTAGGCGGGAAAATTGTAGGTGCAAAATATATTTTAAATAAAATATAATTTAATATCTCCCTAAAATTAATGTGTTTTTTTTTGTTAAAAATTCTTTAAAACTAACCGGAATATCTAATATCTTAAAAATATCGGTGATTTTAAAACATTTCAATTTCCATTTTTGTATGATAGAACAGAGAAGAGAAGTTTTTGAATCAAACAATTTTTCCACAAATTTTGCACAAAGTAATGATCATTATTTTATATAAAATCGAGAAATATGCTCCATGATGTAAAAAAAAATGCTAATATAATATATGACAACGCAATTTAAAACCAAAAAAAGCGATGTCTTTTTCGAACGAAACTGAGACATTTGTTGTCATAATTTTTATCTTTATATCTATAACTAATGTGTGATTGTTACTGCAAGGTTGACACGATAATATCTGCAAACTTTTTTGTGATGATAACGGTCGCTTATAAGTTACATAAATGTTTCCTAACAATTTACATAATTTATTGATAGAATTGAATTGACTAGGAAATCTATTGCACTACATATCTGGTTTCTATTTCGTCATTTATATTTTTCAATTTATATTTTATCTTCATTACTACATCTCTCAATTCCAAAATTATTCGACAGAAAATCAAACAGTACGTAAATTCTTGGATCACCACAATAAATATCTTAAAAATTACAGAGAAAAAAATTAGGATATCTATCGATGCGAAATCATGCGTATATGGTATTTCAATTGCCAAAATATATTAAATATATATTCAGTATCGTCTTATCCGCGCAAAAATAAATTAATTCAGCAGTAAATTATAAATTAAATTAATTATAGTTAATATCATATTTTAATAGTAGCTATTTGCTTTTGATAGATTGATGAAGCAATAATTGATAATATCTGAAAATTAGGCTCGTCATTTTGAGAAGTAATGTATGTCAGCGATTGATAATATCAGAAAAATAGACTCATTATTTTTAGAAGTAATTTATATCTTTCCGATTTGATAAGTAATATGTGATATTCTCTCTCTCTCTCTCTCTCTCTCTCTCTCTCTCTCTCTCATTCATGAAGATGATATAATACATACATTAAATTCAATTAAACTTCGTTTTTTACGGGAAACAATTAATCGAAAAAAGAATTATATATAATCTCTATTTTTACAAGTGTATAAAACAATTTTATATCATACCTGATAAATTGTGCCTGTTCGTTCCCATTTTTTTTCTTGAGTGACGCTGGACTCCATCTGTAAAAAAGAAGATTAATAGAACTTTTAGTCATAAGCACATTTCTATGACACATGTAATTTTTAAGGCTATAAGTATTAAATTAAAATACAGAACTAGTTTTTATCATGTTTTTCTTCTGTAATTATAACACATAGTCTACATTAGTAATACAGCGTTGTAAGAAATACATTTTTTTAAATGACTATAGTTATAGTTATTTGAAAAAAATATAAGTAAATACGGATACACACATATATATATATATATATGTATATATATATATATACATTGCAAGTATTTTTTAAATATATATTGCATGTACATATTGTATATCATTTTATATACACATTCTATTATATATAAATGGCCATGTACTCAAATAAATTTAAAGTAAGTTTAAATTGAAGTAAGCACTATACTATTAGTATTGTACTTATTACAGTATATATATATGTGTACATACATATATACTACATTATTTTTTACTAGAGTTTAAATCCCATCAGACGTGTGTGGAATATGAAGAAGTTTGAAAGGATCATCAACGAATTTAGAAGCAGCACTACATCAAATATGGGAACACACGATTGTGTTCTGAGGAACACAATTAGAGCTTGCATCAATATATGTGCTCGAGTTTACATCATGCACTTGATACAGGCACTAGATAATAAACTTTCTATTGAGTTATCTTAATTTCAGCGATACGTATAAATATGTACATGTGTATATTTAATTAATCATTTTGATGCATATTGTATCAATTTAATATGGTATATCAATCTTTAATAACATTGCTGAAATTTTTAAGATAATTTAATAGAAATTCACGAAGTTAATATCAAATGCTCGATGAGAAGTTTATAGCAAAAAATTTATATACAAAGATGAGGTGAAAGATTATAAGATTTTAAAGTGTAAAACACACACACACACACACACACATAATTAAAGAGTCTCCCCCAACAATACACATATATACACACACACATACACACAAGATGTGCAAAATCCAACCAGCAACTTTCCCTTAGTACGCATTGAATGCTAATGTTAGCGGTAAATGAATAAAAATATGTAGGTAACTTTAACACGCCCACGCCATATCTTTGGAACACAAAATTGTACAAAGCTTTATTTTTCCAATTTGCAAGAAAAAGTCCACACTTTACAATAATTATGAAATTTGTGAAAAAAATTTATTACAGAGTGCGTCAAACTGTGCAATTTGTTGGAGACGTAACATGTCCTTACTTTAAGAAAGATAATGAGAAGAATAAGAATGAATTTAAAATTTATCGAATGTATCTTAAAGCATACATTTTACCTGTAAGAATAAAAAAAAAACTTTGAATACGACTATTTTTTATGGAATTAATTATACAAACACATGAAATTGTTTGAAGTTATGCAAAATTTTAGTATAAATTTATGTTACGATAATAATATAGGATAACTCCGGTATGTACGCCGCACCTATCAAAAACTTAATTTATTAAATATTATTTACTATTTTTAAAGTAAACAAACTATATCAGTAAAAACTTTGTACTGTCTATTATTATGAAAAAAATATTGGAAATCCGAAATATTTATATTTCGTATTAAAAAATAAACTTTTTTAAATCCTTGTATTTCTGCCGTATGAATTTACAAATAATGCATATAAATAAGTCATAAAATGACACAATAACTTATAAAATGCGTTTATAAAGTTTTATTAAGGAATAAGAATGATAAATATGTATATGAAGTAATAAGTAATAATTATAATCTTCCTACATATATTACAAGTGTTATGACGTAACGTACATATTTCATATAATGCGTTTATTGTATTTAGTGTACTGAATTCAATCTGTGCACTTTGTATGCTTTGGGCATAAATCCCGCTCGCTAAAAATGCCGTATCCCAAACAGGTGAGATAAACAAGACAACAAACTAAACAAAGAATAAAGTACTGTATTTTGTTATACAACATGCTTTATTATTCCTCTACACTCATGAAATAATCACTAAGTCTTTTACACTCCTACAGTAATCATTTTATGTAAATTATAATTTATGATGCGCTACTCAACACAGTGACAAATCGATTCAACTCACAAATTTCATTAATATTAAGAAAAACTGAAATCATAACACAATACTAATATGATATAAAGACATGTAACAAAGTAGTTGCGGGAAAATTACCCCCATTCTTTCTATTTTTTCTGATTTCTGCGGCGTAAATCCCAGCGCGGCGTATTTGCCGGAGTTACCCAATATGCATACAATAATGAAAGTTTGTTTTTTATAGCTGCACTAGACGACACTAAAATTATTTTTTTAACTTTTATAAAACTTTTATACAAAAAAGCAGACCTAATATTTCGATTCGCGCATATTTATTTGAATATAAATAATACATATGTATGTGTGCGTGAATATGTCGCGTGCTCGCATGTTGAAAACGATTGTATTTATACATCTAAAATGCTATTTTAAATAGGAAAATAAAACATAAATAAATTATACTTATAATTACTGAGTTAAAAGATATGCTTATTATATATGCAAATATATTAAGTTGAGATAAGCATTTTTCATTGTCAGAAATAGTGCACTCAGTGCACTTTAAAGCTGTTGTACACAAATCAACATAAAGATATACGTTCAATATAGAAACGAATTAATGCGAAATATTCAATACATTTTACAATATTTGATAAAATACACATTGGGCATTTTATCAATTGGGTTATCTCACTTTTAGATTAGAATAATGTACAATAGTTTAATGTGCAGGGAGATTAATAATTAAGAGGTTTGATAATCTTAACTATAGATAAGCAATTTTTTTATGTATCAAAATTAATATGTTTGACATACATGTATTTGCATTTTTTGTAGTATAATTTATGTAGATTACAGTGTGCAGACAACAATTTTATACGAAAAATGAAAAAGTTGAAAAATTAAATTTTGTCATTGATTTCTACATTCTACAGTCGACTCGTAATAACATGTGCTACATAAGAGTTTTAGACTTTGTACATTTGAGATAAGTTTAAATCGCTAGAGATTACATGAAAATATAATAATACTATGCTTGTAGAAATGAACTAAGAGTTTTAGTATAAGAAGAGAAAGGAAAATTTTATTTGTATATACAAATGAAATCAGTAAAGAGTAAAACAGAGCAGTGATTGTGACTAATAGTAGGTACCGGAAGAGATAGTGCTACAATATGTTAGATAAAAACATGTATGTATTTGAGTGAGATAAAATGATAATATAAGAAATGAATTAACGGTAGCAACATTTTTATTTTGGAATTTAAAAAATCTGTAGTAATATATCGATTAAGTTCGGCCGCGTCGCTCTAATATTTTAAATGATAAAAACCATCTTTTATGCGCGTGCGTAAAATGGATTTAATGTTTTTTTTTTATTATATCTCGAAAACTATTCAAAGTATCAAAAAATGTTTCATACAAAAGTTTTATAATAAAATTGTTCTGTTTACCCATGTAAATAATATTTAAAAAGAATTATCATATATAAAATTCAAATTTTCAAAATTATTTCTATATTACAATATTTATGTAGATAAATAAAAATAATTTTATTAAAAAAGTTTTATAATCAAACTTCCATAATTTTTGCAAATATACAAAAATTATAAATAGATTCTTATATATATTTTAACATCTTTAAAAAACATTTATGAAGTTGTATATAAAAAAAAGAAAAGGATAGAAAGAATTATTTAGTTAGGTGCAATATTTTGAAGAAAAGGAACAAGATACGAATGACTCATCGTGAATACTCCAAGAGTAAAATTATATTGAATAATATTAAAATAAAAAAATAATATTGTTTATTATCTGCATTATATACATATATTTAATTTATGACACAGAAAAAAGTTCATTTTAATAAATTAAATACACTGTAAAGATTATATCAT